AATTTTGGTCAATGACATGAGACAAAGTATATGTGAACTGCTGTATGAAAAGTGAATTTACTCTGTAAATCTTCACCCAAATCCTAATTTAAAAAAAAAAAAAAAGAAGTACAGCCAGAGTAACTCCTTAAATGTGAGGATGGTGGAAATCTGTCTCAAGGTGTTTGGATATATTATCAGGAGGGAGCAGTCCCTGGAAAAAGATATGCTTGATAAATAGAGGGTCAGTGAAAAAGAGGAAGACCTTTAGTGAGGTACATTGACCCACTGCCTGCAACAGTGGGCTCAAAGCATGGCAACAGATGTGAGGACCAAGCGTAGGATTGCATAGGACCACAGCAATGTTTTGTTCTGTCATACATAGGGTCACTGTGAGTTCAGACCAGCTGGATGGCACCTGACAAGAACCATATGTCTCTGTGTATCTATGTTAACAGACAGGAAAGTGTGTTTATGCTTTTGTTTCAGATATTGGTAATTCAGACTGGTTGAGTTTTAGAGGTGGAAGAAATGTCAACTACAAGGAAATAGTAAATTGATTACCTGAAAGAACAACACGAGTGAGAAATTGTTAGCCTGAATATACTAGAATACAGGTTCAAACAGTTGTAAGGTTTATATTTTTGGTGGGTCGTCATTATCGCATGCCACTTAAATCTGTAAGGCCTCCCCACCCCTTGAGTATTCCTCCATTATGTAAAAAGTTTTGCCCTCTGATGAGAAAGAAAAGTCTTTTCATTACAGTTGATGGTATGTATATGTGTCTATTGCTCTCACCACATCTATGATCTATTTTCCTAAAAGAGAGGGAGAATCAAAAAGAAGTGTTCTTGTCCTGAAAAGGGGGTGGGGGGGCTGATAAAATAAGTTTTTTTTTTTTTTTTTTTTAAAAAGGCTTGTTTCATCTTATGCTGTAATTCTTGCAGTGCAGCAGAGTATTATTATGATCTTGTATGGGGATTTATGTAGTCTCTAACCAAAGAGATCATTATTATTTTATATTGCAGAAAAATTCATGGAGCATATCATTACATATCATGAATTTGCAGAAAACCCTGGACTTATAGACAATCCTAATCTTGTAATACGGATATATAACCGGTAAATTACTCTTGCTTTTATAACTGTTAAATACTCTTGCAGTTTTTTTCCTAAGTGCTGTTTTAAATATTATACTTTGCCTTACTATAAAGTATGTTATATGAATGAGTTAATGGGCAGTGACTCTGAAGTGAAAGTGAAGCCTCAACTTTATTTTTAAATGAGGCATTTAAATGTTATTTTTCTGCTTTATAGATTTTACTGCTTCTCTATTCAGAGAAGCTTGGCTTGCAGCATAGATTATTATGTGACAAAAATTTCACAGATCATCTATTTATTTATTTATTTAAAAAAAGCAATATTACCTGTTTTATTCTACTTCTTTCTCACCTGTTGGGTGTGTGTGTGTGGAATGATTTTGCATAATTTTTGTTTCTCACAGTTACTATAACTGGGCTTTGGCTGCTCCCATGATACTTAGCTTGCAAGTATTCCAGAAGAGTTTGCCTAAGGTGAGGTGATTCACCATTTGTTGCCTTTTTGAAACTATCGACAGCATATAGTATGTGTAGAAGTCCATATGTGTATATTTCTAAACTTGGATACTATTCAGAATTTTATTTGCATTTCATCTGTACTGTTGTGAAGAGTCCATATAGCTATACAAACTCCCTCAAATTATCTCGTACCCAAAATGTAGGAAGTTAGCCCAGCTGCCACTTCTTTAGTCTCTTATATTAGATGTGTATGACAGTTTATCATTGTTTATAAAAGTTGAGAGATTTAACTGACTGCAAATTAAATATAGAAAGAATGAAAACTATTCCTCTTACTAATTTTGGAAGAAGCAGCAAGAAGAGGGTGATATCACCAACAAAAGTGACCTCAAGTCAGCCTGTTATATAAAACCTGGAGATTTTCTTTCGGTCTGTGTACCAAAGAGGCATCATCAGCCTAGTCTGCTCTCATAACTCAGGAGAACATGTTTTCAAGGATGGGGAAGAAGAGCTGCTTCTGTGCTGCAGACCACCTAGCCTTGCCCGCAGACCTGTTCCCGCACTCAGAGCCAGTTGTACAAAAGCTGGGTATTGTCCATCTTTCAGAGGTGCACTCAGAGCCGGTTATACAAAAGCTGGGTATTGTCCATCTTTCAGAGGTGATGCTCAACGGGTCTGAGAGGAGTCACATTACATAATAAGATACCACCTATTGGCCGGTAGTGGGAAATAGCTGACTGAAGGCTTACCCATTCTAACCCAAGTTGGTTGTTTCCAGGCAACAGTCGAGTCCTGGGTCAAAGATAAGATGCCAAAGAAATCTGGTCGGTGGTGGTTTTGGCGTAAGAGAGAAAGCATGACCAAACAGGTAAGCCATCTAGAGGTAACCGTTTCCATGGGTTGGTAAGAAGTACATCTTGAACAACAATTTTTTGCCAATCATAAGGACGTCTGTCTGGGCTATGTATACTATTATAAGGAGCTCTGGTGGTAACGTGTGGTGGCATAGTGCCTAAAGCATTTGACTGCTAACCAGAAGGCCAGCGGTTCAAACCCACCAGCCACTCCTCAGAAGGAAGATCAGGCAATCTGCTTCCATAGAGATAACACCTCAGAAACCCAAGCAGGGGTCATTATGAGTCGTATTCAACTCAATGGCAATGAGTTTGGATTTTTATGTATACTATCATAGTACGAGGGGTCACTATGAGTCGGGGCCGACTCGACGGCACACAACAACAAAAACAACAACATCATAGTACAATAGTATTTGTTAGCATTTTTGAGCAATTACTGTCTGCAGGTACTATGCTAAGTGGTTTATGTGCATTACCTCTCAATTTTACACCAGGTTAGAAGTATAAATTTTTGAATTCTCATTTTACTAATAAGGAAACTTTGGCACAAAGAAGCTGAATAACTTGACTGAATTTGTGTAACTGATGAGGTATGATGCTTGAGTCTTGACTCCAAAGCCTGTCTCCACCTCACCACGTTACCTTCCAGATATTTAAAAAAAAAAAAAAGCATATTTCCTCCTACAGGTTATTTCAGATGCAGATAGTGAGACTCTCCTCTTTTAACAAAATACTCGGAGGACAGGTTCACCTGAAGAAGCAAACAGAGTAAATAAAATCTTGATTTCTCAAAGCCTCTGAAAAAGAGGGTCAGGGAGGTTTACATATTTTTTCAAATGGCAGAACTGGAGTCACCATAGATGAGGCTCTAGTGATTGATGACTCTGAGCCCATTTCAGCACGATCTCTCACTCTGCCTCCCAGTGTTCTCCCCAGTAGGTGCTGAGCCACTCCCAGGAAAAGAAGTGTACCAGTAATTTCTTGTCTGTACCCCTTTTTCTCTACCAAGGACCCTGACAAGTTTAGGTCAGCTGTGTTAAATGGGCTCTTTTAAATGTTTTTTACCTCTGGTTTTGGGGATACAGCTTTCTGCATAGCAACATGTGACTTCTTTCTCAAGTTTCTGTCCCTTGGCTCAAATTAGAGAAAGTCTTTTTCTTGAGCATGTTTAGGTTATGGGTTCACAAAGTAGTTATGCTTTTCCCTGGAAAGGATTGCGGATGAATTTTTTGCTTGTTGGTACGGAAGAAAATGATGTGTTGCCATTATTAGTCTTTTGCTGTTTTAGCTGCCAGAGGCCAAGGAGGGAAAATCTGAAGCACAACAAACCAGCGACCTGCCATCGAGGGCCAAAGAACAAGCCAGTGCCAGGTGGGAGCGCTTTACCCTTCCTCTGGGTTCACTTCGCTAGGGCTGCTCTTGCTTTGGCCATTACATTTAAGTTGTCTAATTCTTAGTCAGAAACATCTCTTCTCTAGCTAACACATGATAATAGGTGGCTTGTTTATGCTACTCAGTTACTTAGCAGTAACTTACTTCCTGAAAAGCAACAGCCTAGGGCAGTAAATATTACTCATCACTGCTTCCTAAATACCTGTGCCAATCTTGAAACCGTGAAATCTGATACTATGAACTGTAAGATTTGGGGGCAAGGGCTGACAAAAGATACGTCATACTCCTGTATCACTGCTTCATAGCTTTTTATCAAACGCAAAAGGGAAATCTGAAAGAGAATCTGAAAGATTGGATTGAGTACATCCTGAGACATTTCATTATGTGGAAGAAGTAGCACTTCTTTGGACATCTCAGTTGGCTGGCCCTTAGAAGCATTGTTCACTATATACCTGGTTCTTGTTTACTGCCCTGCATTTTACTTTCCCTGATGAAATTCTTTTTTCTTCTCTCATTCTCCAACTCTTTAATAGTCTCCCTGAGTCTGAGTTTATTTTCTTGCTCTATACCATCTTCTTTTAAGGCATGTATAAAATCTTACTAGTTTTTAAATAAGTATATGCAATTATATTTTATTTCATTTGTACCTTTTAAAACATACCTACTTTTGGGCAAGAATCAAAAGGATAATAGTAGACCTGTTAGCTCACAGTCATTGGTCCTAGCAGAAAATAGCAAGCCATAGCCAGAAAGGCACTGTTTTCCACTTATAACTGAGTAAAGAGAGAGGGCCTTATTAATGATATAAGTATTTCAGGCATTAAAAAAACCTGTTGACATGGGAGAATGGCAGAGGGAGCAACTCTTCCCATCCCTAGAATGGATTGGTAGGTCCTTTAGGAACCTAAATCGTGCTCTAGGTTTCTTTTTTTTCCTGATCCTAAAGGAAATTCTGTCTTGTAAAATGGCCTGCTCCATATTTGTTATGATATTTTTCATAAATAACACACCCATGTAAATAACGTGCTTACAAATATGAGAGGTTGCATGGCTGGCAAAAATGTGGAACGTGTGTTATTTGCATAAAATAGCAGTCACTGGTTTGATGTTGTGTAGGTTGTCTGAAGATGACTCATCAAGTGATGAGGCATCCCAAGAGCTCGAAGAATCCATCAAAGTGGACCCCATTCCTGGGGAGTGTCTGATCCATGGCAACACGACCTCATACAAGAAGTCCCTCAGACTCTCCTCGGAGCAGATTGTGAGTCATGGGAGATCTGAAGGGATCCAATATGGTTTATTCCAGGACAAGCTTCCTCTTCAGTCTCTTCCAGTTCCAAGCACTTAGAATGCTGTACAGTGCATGCTGCAAGCATTTTCATGTACAGTAGAAGAGGCCTTCCCCCCATATCCACTTAACCTCAGATGACCTGGGGAGTCTGAATCTTTAACATACTTCTTTGCGAATCTTACACTGTCAGCCCAGTACTGTCTCTTAGGGAAATGCTGTTTCCTCAAACACAGTTGTCCCTTTCTTGTTTATTTCCTACTCCCTGAATTTTACCCATTTTTAGTATGAAAAGAGTCTTGCTAGAAATAGCAGGAGGCTATGCCTCAGGGCATTGATGCTCAGGTACAGAGGAAGAGCAGAGAAGAGAAATTGTGGTTTTTGCATTCAGAAGAGTCATTTGAAATCCCAAACAGTGTTCGATATGGCTTGCCCAGCTGATCTTGTTCTGAGCATACCATGTGCTCAGGGATGGAAGGAGACCATCCCTGCCTCAGGGTAGCTGGAATCCTGAAACCCTAGTAATTGTTTTTTATAAATACTAAATTCTGTTAAAACTGTGTGTTTTTTAGCTAATTTTCTTTATTCTTACACTTTTTATAAAAGGCAAAACTGAAGCTCCAAGATGGACCAAATGATGTTGTATTTAGCATTACAACCCAGTATCAAGGTACTTGCCGCTGTGCAGGAACCATTTACCTGTGGAACTGGAATGACAAGGTCATCATTTCTGACATCGATGGAACAATAACCAAGTAAGCAATACCTGTCATCTGGGGGGTGAGGAGCAACCGTGAGTGCTGAGAGTGCAGGCTAGTGGTAGGGGGAGACCCCTCAGTCTGGTCCTTGGCCACTGGGGTTGGGTATTTTGTAAATATTCTGCACTGACAGACACATCATGAGTGCAGTCCACACGAGAAGATGAATGGAGAAGTTGAAAATAACTTTTTGGGAAAGATTTGGTCCTGCGGTCTCCAAATTCTAATGCAAGAAGCTGTTGAGATTAGGAAGGAGATAAAGCAGATGTGTGGTTGTAAATGATTTCTGAAAATAAGCATCTGGCTCTTGAGCCTGATTCCATTCTTCAGTGCACATCCATGGTTGTCCTCATGAGGGAGTCATTGTAGACTGGACCCCCAGCCCACCAAATATTTATTAGAAGCTCATATTTAACAAAATGGGGGAAGGGGAAAAAAAAAAAAAAGCTTGGCTTTATACACTGGATTCCTAATACATTTCTCTTTCCATGCTCTTCTTAGGTCTGATGCTTTGGGACAGATTCTCCCACAACTGGGTAAAGATTGGACTCACCAGGGTATAGCAAAGCTCTACCATTCTATCAACGAGTAGGTGTTCATTCCAACATGGCGAGTCACTCTAGTGAGCTAGAAATTTGCTTTAAGAACTAAAAAAATGGACCATATCAGCCAGTCCATGTAAATCATGTGTATGTGGCCCTGCTGTCCCTGCTCCTCTTTCCCTTCTTTTGTAGCTGCAAAAACAGAAGTGGCAGCCACTTCTCCTGGAGCATATGATAGGATGGATTTTCCCTGTACTGTCTCATTCAATCCTCACAACATTGTGAAGGTTAGGTACTTCTGTGTTTATGGTTATAGCTAGAATTCACTTAATTTTTTTAATGCATTTTAGTGAAATATAATTTATGTACAGTGAAATACACAAAATTAAAGTGACATGGGTCAATGCATTTATTTTTTTGCAGTGTTCCCTCCCCTCCCCTCTCACCCCTAGCAACCAACAAAGAAAGTTTCCCTCCTTATATAAACCTTTCCTTGACCCTCCACAACAACAAACTAATACTATATTTGTCCTTCTGTGATTGACTTATTTCACTCAGCATAATGTCCTCCAAGTTCATCCATATTATGCAGTGTTTTGCAGACTCTACGTTATTCTTTAGTGCTGCATAGCATTCCACTATGTGTATGTACTATAGTTTGGTCATCCACCCTTCTGCTGATGGGCACGTAGTTTGTTTCCATCTTTTTGCTATTGTAAATAGTGCTATGATGAACATGAGCGTGCATATATCTGTTCCCATCCTGGCTCTCACTTCTCTAGGATATATACCTAGTAATGGGATTGTTGGGTCAAATGGTATCTCCAATTCCAACTTTCTAAGGAATTGCCATATTGCTTTCCACAGTGGTTGTGTCACATCACAGTCACACAAGCAGTGTATGAGAGTCCCAATCTCTCCACACCCCCACCAACATTTGTTATTTTCTGTTTTGTTGAACCTTGCCATGAGTGCTGGGGTGAGATGGTATATCTCGTTGTTTTGATTTACATCTCTCTGATGGCCAATGATTGTGAGCATCTTTTCATGTATTAGCTGAACACCTGAATATCCTCCTTGGTGAAGTGTCTATTCATGTCTTCTGCCTTATTTTGATTTGCATCTCTCTAATAGCTAATAATCATGAGTATTTCTTCATATGTTTGTTGGCTGCTTGAATATCCTCCTTGATGAAGTGTCTATTCATGTCTTCTGCCTTATTTTGATTTGCATCTCTCTAATAGCTAATAATCATGAGTATTTCTTCATATGTTTGTTGGCTGCTTGAATATCCTCCTTGATGAAGTGTCTATTCATGTCTTCTGCCTTATTTTTCAGTTGGATCGTTAATTCCTGTGGTGTTGAGGGATTGGAGTTTTCCATCGATCTTAGAGATAAGTCCTTTGCCAGATATGTAATTATTAGCAAATATGAATTGGTTGCTGTCATTTTTGTCATGTGCTTTTTTTCATTGTGTTGATTTCTTTGTTCCATATACTTTTCTATGCGGAGCTCGTTTTGTTTATGAATCATGTTATCACTTCCTTCATTGCTGTTTTAGTATTTGCTGAATATTTATGCTGGTTCTCTCCTTCATTTTGATGTGAAGGTTTATCATTGTTCTTGGAGGTTAGCCTGTGATTTATAGTTTTCTTCCCAAGTGTAGAACAGTCCATTCTATCGTGTAGTTGTCTTGACTTCCCCACCATCTAGAAGTTCTGTAGTGACACAGATTTTTTTCCCTCTTTTTGGTTTGTAGTTGTCCTCATTTGTCAGTTGGTGTCTCTGGTTCCCTATTTACAATCTTGTAGGCTTATTTATTTTGGATACTTCCATAGCTGGGTTGGTTTCTGGGTTATATCATCATGTGTGTTAATGGTCAGTTGTTGTTGGTGTTGCTTCTCTGTCCAGAGGGCTCCCTTTGTAAGGTTGGTCTGGTTTTAACAAATTCCCTTAATTTCAGTTTGTCTGGAAATGTCCTAATTTCACCATCGTATTTGAGGGACAACTTTGCTGGGTACGTAATTCTTGGTTGGAAATTTTTCTTTCAGTGTTGTATATATACCATCCCATTCTCTTCTCGCCTCCATGGTTTCTGTCGAGAAATCCAGGCTTACTCTTATTGGTTGCCCCTTGTAGGTAACTTTTCGTTTTTCCCATGCTGCTCTCATGATTCTTTTTTTGTCTTTGGTTTTGGTGAGTTTGATGAGGATGTATCTTGTGTGAGTTTGATGATGATATATCTTGGTGTTTTTCTTTTGGGGTCTATCCTGTTTGGGATTCATTGGACTTCCTGAATGGATATATTCTCATCTTTCATCATATCAGGGAAGTTCTCCTACAACAAATCTTGGACAATTTTCTCAGTAGTTTGATTTTTCTCTTCCTGTTCTGGAATTCCAGTGACACGTAGGTTATTCCCTTTGATGGTATCCCACATGAACCTTAGGCTTTCTTCATTTCGTTTTGATCTTTTTTCTGATTGCTCCCTTTCCAAAGAAGGATTCAGGTATTTGTCTTCAGTCTCATTAATTCTGTCTTCCATCACATCGATTCTTCTCCTTTGCCCTTCCCATGTGTTACCTATTTCTGACAATTCAGTATTAATCTTCTGGATTTCTATCTGTAGATTTAGAATCATTTTAATTTTTCATTTATTTTGTCATTTTGTTCTTGTATTTTCTTCCAAAATTCTTCTAGGGTTTTGTCTGTGTTTTCCTTGGTCTGTCTCTCAATCCTTTAAAGGTACCTAAATATAATTATTTTGAATTCCTTATCAGGGAGTTCCAGTGCTGCATCTTCCTCAAGGATGGGTTTTGGGTTGGTATCCTGGTCCTTTGTTTCTCCTGCTTTATCTTGCTACTTTGTGTGGATTGTGATGCTCTATTATCTCTGAGGCATTGTGACATTTTTGTGTTTATATTTAGTTGGTGATTATATGTTGGAGTGACTTGCCCGCAATTTTCATTTTCTTTGTTTCGTTTGTATGTTCTTTATACAGGCAGGGTGTTGTACTGTGCTCCTCTGTTCACTAGTTGACAGCACTTATACACTCATCACCTGTCTCCTTTCCTGTCGTCAGCCTCTCATATGTCCTTGCTGACCCCGGCAAACTGAGCCTGTTCTTAGGTCCCTGGAATCCTAATGAGAGTGCTTGAATTCACTTATTTTTTGCTGGAATTTAACAGTTGAGTTTGTTTTCATTTTTGACTTAGTATTTTTAAATTCTTTGAATAGGTAATACATGTACACATAGGGGAAACAATTCCCTCAGCATAGAAGGGTATGCACATTGAGAAACATGGACAGTGAATTATGTACTCAGTGACCACCTCCACCTTGCTAAAAGGCAGCCACCAGTCAGTCCCTGGCATTTCCTCTAGTCTGTGCATAGAAGCACATGAGGGTGAGCTGTACTCACAGGGCAGCACCCAGGCTGGGAACTCAGCTCTTAAACACCCCTCCCTGCTGTTGCTGTACTTTCATTGGACCTTGTTTCCTGCTGGTGCTTTCTGGGAAAGGTTTGGATCCAGGCAGCCAGCTCCTCTCAGACCTGCTCCACTCTGTAACAGTTCCTTTGCCAGAATTGGAAATCCTACGTACACCTTTCAGACCCTCAGATCCTCTTGTCAGTCACTCTTTGAAGAGAAAGCAGTGCCGTGGCCTTATGGATCCTGACACCTTGAAATTAAAATTGATTTGAAAAATGACAGTGTCTTAAGCATTAGTCCAGCATGCTGTGATAGGAAAGTTATGAGTATATCCGTTACCCAGATCTTATTTTGTACCTTATCTTAAGTGGTGGTTTGCATTCTGCAAATTGTCTTTATAAATAAGATCCCTTGTGTCTTTTCTTGCAGATTTATAGGTGGACCAAGGTTTTTGTCTCTACTGTAATCTGGCTGTCATGGACTAGTTGCTGAATATGCAGCCTATCAGTGACTTAAAAATTTAGCTTAATTCTTAGTTGCATATACCTCTGTTTTTCCCTGTGGTGCCTTCCATGGAAAGGAGAAATCTTTATAATCCTTACTAGTTTGCTGGTAAATTACAGAAGTGAGAGGAACTTTATTTGGATCTTTTAAATGAAAAGATATGCTTCCCTCCCCCCACTTTAGCCAAAGCATGTGGACTAAGTAGATGTATTCTCTTTCAGGAATGGCTACAAGTTTCTGTACTGTTCTGCCCGCGCTATTGGCATGGCTGACATGACTCGTGGCTATCTTCACTGGGTCAATGACAAGGGCATAATCTTGCCTCGGGGGCCTCTGATGCTGTCCCCCAGCAGCTTATTCTCTGCCTTCCACAGGTACTTCTCCCAGCAAAACTGCTGCCTCTGTGTTCATGCTGGGTGGGCCTAGGTTGACCTAGGGTCCCTGAATCGAGTGTGAGTGTGAGGGAATGTCACCACTTTGAAAGTGTCTGAGAGCTTATGTTTCTCTCTTGGTTCTCTGGCTCCACCATAGCTTTTAACTTACACATGACTCCTACCTGCTCTCTCAGATACAGGGAAGAAAATTAGTTTTGGGAATCCTCACGTTTTCTCCTTCCCAAATCCCACCATTCATGTTTTCTTAGTCATCAGATTGACGAGGGAAGAAGGAGAAAGAGATACCAGAGGATTGAAAAAAATGAATGCTGTGAACACTTGATGAAATCCATTCAGGGCCATGCACTGGGAAAAGCTACTGTTTCATATTTGATAATTGAACTTTTTTCTTAGGGAAGTGATAGAAAAGAAACCAGAGAAGTTCAAAATTGAATGTCTAAATGACATCAAGAATTTGTTTGCCCCATCTAAGCAACCCTTCTATGCTGCCTTTGGAAACCGCCCAAACGTAAGTATCCTCCTAGGTTTCGGATTCAGATGTGGTAGGTGAAATCCAGAGACATGTGCTCTTTAGGGCACATCCATGCCATAATTCCCAAACCAAGAAACAAAATGAACATCCCTTCTGCTCAGTAGGTTGTCACTTTTCTCTGTTTGAGATTCCTATAGCATTGGGAAGGTCCTATAGGTAGAGACCTGCCCCAGAATTTTGGTGTGTGAAGAAAGGCTTGCTCTCTGTTTTTTTGTGACTTCATTTTCCCCAGCGTTCTGACTCATGTTCTCATTGGTTCTGAGCCATGTCACTGGATCCTCCCACACACAGCATGAGTGTTTTCTAGCACTCTAGTGGACTGACCTGCCTCACATATGGGGCCTCAGGTCCCAGGCTAGGCAAAGGTACTACCTCCCTCCTGCTCCAGAACCCTTGGCTTCTCCTTCTTGGTGACTCAGGTTTCCTGCCTCCCCTTGCACCCTTTGGATTTGGCATCATTCTTTAGTTTGGGATGGATGAAATATGCCCGGCTCCACATATTTCCCATATAGTATCTCTGTCTGCAGTGCTCTGAATCCCCAGGAACTGAGAAGTCTCCTGCTTTCCCCTCCCTGTACTTACCATGCCACTGTCGCCTTCTGCAGGATGTCTATGCTTACACACAAGTTGGAGTTCCAGACTGTAGAATATTCACCGTGAACCCCAAGGGAGAGTTAATACAGGAGAGGACCAAAGGCAACAAGTCATCGTAAGTACATTACAACTTCACAGCCAAGGGCAAAACTAGGGACAGACAGATCCTAACCAGACTTGAAGTAGCAGAGCTGTCATTTGGAGACTCCTGTTTGCCTGGATGTTTGTTCTCCAAAACAGGTGTTGAAGGGATCACTGATTATTCTAGACTTCGTTGGTAATTTTTTTATGACCTGTTCAACTTCTTCTTTTGTTTTGTCAGTCTGTGTTAGTTTTGATAAGTATTGTGCTTCTAGAAATCTGTCCATTTCTTCTAGATTTTCAAATTTGTTGGAATATAGTTCTTCTTAGTATCCTGATAATATCCTTTTTATTTCAGTTGGTTCTGTTGTAACATTGCTCAATTTGTTTCTTATTTCTGTTATTTGTATTCTCTTCCTCTTTTCCTTTGTTAAATTTGCCAGTGGTTTGTCAATTTTATTAATCTTTTCAAAAAACCAACTTCTTATCTTGTTGATTGTCTATTTTCTGTTTCATTTATCTCTACTTGAATCTTTATTCTTTTTTTCTGGTGACTGTAAGCTTTTTTTGCTGTTCTTTTTTTAATTGTTGGAGATGGTGGGTTAAGGTGTTGATTTTGGCTGTGTCCCAAAGATTTTGGTATGTTGTGTTTTCCTTCTCGTTTGAGTCAAGGAATTTTTGAATTTCATTTTTTTATTTCTTCTATTACCCAGTTGTTTTTAAGGAGGGTGTTTTTCAGTTTCCATATGTTTGTTCTTTTTCCATTCTTTTTCCTATTGTTGATTTCTAATTTTAGAGCATTGTGATCTGAAAAGATGCTTTGCAGTATTTCAGTGTCTTTAAATTTATTAAGGCTTGCTTTATGACCTAACATAAAGTCTGTCATGCAGAATGATCCATGTGCACTGGAAAAGAACGTATATTGTGCTATTGTTGGATGAAGTGCTCTGTAATTGTCTGCAAGGTCAGGTTGGTGGATTGTGTTGTTTAGTTCTTCTGTATCTTTGTTTTTTTCCAGTTCTATCTTTCATTGAAAGTGGTGTATTAAAGTCTCCTACTATGACTAATGGAGTCATCTGTTTGTCTTTTCAATTCTATTAAAGTCTGATGTATGTATTTTGGGGCTCTTTCATTGGGTGCATAGATATTTATTATGGTTATGTCCTCTTGTTCAACTGATCCTTTAATCATTATGTAATGTCTTTCCTTGTCTCTTACGGTGGTTTTTGTCTTAAAGTCAATTTGATCAGAAACTAATACCGCCACTCCTGCTCTTTTTTGGTTGCCGTTTGCTTGATATATCTTTTTTGAACCTTTGATTTTTACTCTATTTTTGTCTTTGTCTCTATGGTATATCTCTTGTAGACAACATTGATGAGTCATGTTTTCTTATCCAGTCTGCAACTCTGTGTCTCTTGAGTGGTACATTTTGCCCATTAATTTAGACATTGATGAGGAAATTTTCCTGGTCTGTACCCTGGGACAGAACGTAGCAGAACCTGTTTCTGAACATAGCATTGTAACATTCAATTTTGTATTCTTTAATTTTGAAATAACATCCTGTGTGTTTCTTCCCCATACCCATCTAGGTATCACAGGCTGAGTGAGCTCGTGGAACATGTGTTTCCACTTCTCAATAAAGAACAGAATTCTGCCTTTCCTTGCCCAGAATTTAGCTCCTTCTGCTACTGGCGAGACCCGATTCCCAGCGTGAGCCTGGATGACCTGGCATGAAGAGATCCCTCCTAGGGGTGGGGGTCCCAGTCACTCAGCCTCGCAGGAAGGGAAGTGAGTGGCTTCTGCTGAACAGAGGACATTGTGCTAACTTCAGAGCCAGACCAGACACCAGTGCTAGCCAGGCACACACTTTCCCAAGCAGGGACAGGGGATGCTCCCAGGAGCTAGACTGTATCTCTCTGTACTCCTTAAGTTGGCTTCTCAGGCTTGACAATGTCTAGAGCTCAGTATCCCAGAAGGGAACATGAGGGCTTCTGATTTGAAGGTGGAGCCCTGTGCTTCTGTGCTTGTGTCAGTCTTCACACGTGCTTTGTGTTGAGTTGTGTGCCAGGTGCTCCTTTAATTACATAATTTAAAAAGGAAGAAAGCATAGCTAAAAGAAAATGGACCAAAACATCACACAACATAGAGTGATCTAATTTCCTATGGGCAGCTGAGATTCCATTTCTGTAAATAACCCAGGTCCACTGAACTGCCACCGGTCCAGTAGTGATGTTGGTTAAAACCATCCATGCACTTTGCTTCTCTGGACTCCTTCCCTGCTACCCTCAAGCAGGGTAGCTGCTTCAGGGTGCCAGATGAGCCACCACAGGCTGGGCCCCAGAACCACGTGAGCAGCCTTGATGATATGGGGCCCACTGTCTCTGCAAATCCCTACAAATGTGGTTTCTAACACTGAACTACCATAAGCTGTTCATCTGTGATGACTACATGATGGGAGGCTTTTAAGTAATTTCTTAGACCTATCGCGAAGAAACGGATCTTGAGGTATATATTTGATGTTTTCAATAAAAATCTTATCAGTGGAAATTGAGTTTTCAGGGGGGGGAAAAAAATGAAACAGCTTCCTCTGTTTTCAGGGAGGCCTTGGAAATGCAGGTGTGCCATTGTGTTCTGTCCCGGAAGACCCTTTTCTGTATCCTTGTTACTGTTGCCTGTTGTAGGTGGGCTTTGGGGTGTCCTGGTTTGGGGACACAGTTTCTAAAATTGCACTTTAGATTTGTCAGGGAAGCACAGTGAAGCTCCTTGAGGCCACAGGCGGCAGTTAGGCTTTGGCATTTGGAGTAACAGCCATGGATAAAGCCCATGGAAGCTGTTTAAGAGAGGGCTTCTGGAACTGACCACCCCTCACCGTCCGTGTGCCCTCGTTCTAACTGCTCCCATCAGCCAGAGATGTGTGCAGCAGAAGGGGCAGGTGCCAAGGTCTCCCTGAGACACATGGGCCTGTAGGGATACCTGTGTATTCTCCCTTAAAGGAAATGAGCAGCTTAGCTTTCTCACCTGGCTGTAATGAGTGCATGTCAAGTGTCTGAACAGACTGGGATTAGCCAGTCATTTTCAGGAGCCTGGAGAAATCAGGATGGTGTTGACAATCACCTCAATATTAAAGTGAAGAGAAGTGTTTGAGAGAAGACCTTCAGAGGACCAAAGATGGCCACAGCCACAGAGACAGGCAAGCATCTCCCAGGCCCACCTTCCCCTGTGATTGTATTGTGGGCTGTTCTCGTTTCAGTGCACCTCACCCAAAATCATACTGATCCAGAGTGGGAGACAGGGTGGTGATTTTTCCAGATTGGAGAGCTGATATTCCCTGGTTTATTTAGCTACTTTTTCCTGATGCTGTTGAATGCAGAGACAATGTTGACATTTCTTGAATACAGTCCTCAGTTGGCAAAACCTGAAGGCACGTGTTCTTTCCAGTTCAGACCTTCTCACCTTGAATATTTCAGGACTCATTGTCTAATGAGTTTGATCAAAGTATTTATGTACAGTAAATTAGGGAAACCAGGTTATGTTTTGTGAAGTTCTGCCTAAGTAATGAATTAAAACCCTAAGAGACCAGATACCAGTTGCTTTATTTCTCTCTCTAACACGGGTCCACTGAACTGCCACAGGTCTAGTTAGTAATGTTGGTAAAACATCATTGAATGCCATCAGCATGTCCTCCTGACAGACTGAAGTAGAGAGAGAATGTGAGTGTTATGCACTTAGCCTGAGCTTAGTAGGGTTCCTTTGTGTATGTGTGTACAAAAATCATAATTTACAGTTTAGTCCTTTTTAAGTTGACCTATAGAGTTTTTGACTAGGTGATGTGTATTTCCTCACAAGCTCTTCCTTTTGGACACATAGGCCTGCCTTAGAGGATCCAGCTAGGAAACCAGGTCTCCAGCCCTGTGCTGAGGGGGCCTTGGTCCCTTTGTCCCAGTATCCATAAGCAATAGGCTTTGTTGCTTTGTCACTGCAGGTTGACCCAGTGGTGTGTACATGCTAATTAATGTCAGTCTTTTTCCTTTTTGAAGGAGTCCTTCTTACTGAAAGGAGATGATTTACTATTACTGTAGTGTTAATGGAAGTATTAAGTTTGTGCTAAAAACCCATTGCCATTTAGTACAAATGACATTTGTTCTTTCTGTGAAAGAGAGATGCCCTTGAGTGTGTTTGTACACAAGCCCTTGGGATGGTGAGTTCGTGATGCATCGCCCTGTGGATGTTTGTGGGGATGGGGGTGTCATAGGAGCCTGCAGGGCAGAGGGCTCTTCTGCGTCATTCTGTCAGTTTCTCCAGTGATTGCACCATTGATCGTCCCTCTTTCTGGTCCAGTCTACCCTTAGTATTTGCATTTACGTCCATGTGTTTAAGCTTGTACTTCTGTGAAGTGTAGACATTAGCATCCTTGTCAGGCTTTAGGAAGTACACATGTGGACCTGGAGCATGCACACTACCCCGTGCTGAGTACTGTATTGCAGTGTGAGAACATCTGCGTAGTTTCACCTGGAAAGAAGAAACTTACTAGTTTGATGTTCTAACATGAAAGCTGCTGAAGGGTTTGGGGAGGTTTTTTTACATCTGGCCGAACTCCTCTCTGTCAAAGCCCCAAGGAAGCACCAGTTCACTGGTGACTGGAAGCACTTCTGCCTGGAGAGTGCCCCTGCAGTTGGTTCTGGCAGGTGCAGGCAAGGCCTTTGACAAATTAACAGCCAACAAGTAAGCTTTGGCTTTTTGAAAGCCGGTAAGATCAGACTCCCAGGGGAGTTCATCAGCTTTTCAGGTATCATTTACTCTGGGAAGCCTGGATTTTCCTTGCTTTTAGAGCATGCTCGTTTAATAAAACTGGTTAAAAATTGAGTTTTTATTTAAAGTAACTGTTCTTTCCAGGTGAAAGCAACTTTTTTTGGTTTGTTTTGAAAGTAAGAAAGGGAGGGAAACTTTACGCTTTCAAATTTAACAATTCAGTTTTTGATGAAGTATTTGATTGTTAGACAACAGTGCCACTAACAAGTTTTAAGTTATCAAAAATTAATTGTAAACATCAGTACAGTACTCTGTTATGTTAAAGGCAATTGTCTTGAAATAAATGGATCATATTTTGGTGCAATGTTTGATGTTCAAAATAAAATGTTATCATAATAAACAAATGTAAAGTACATGCATTTGACTCTTCCTTTCTGAGGACTTTTTGACCATCTTCTCTGTACTCTTGCCAAAACTGGTTATTTCCATGAATTAGCATTTTGATCTTTGCTGACACTTAAACTTATCTACAGAAAGGACTTCTTCTTGGTGCTTATTTTTAAAACCTGACTCCAGAAGTGAGGCTACACCCACAGGAACTAAGCCCTCCTGCTTTGTAGACTCTGCCAGGGAGTGATTCATTCATGCAGATGTAATTCCTATTGTAGGCTCACTGGCATCGCTGGATTGTTTTTAATGCCTCGCCCCAGCCCTGTATCTCCCTGAGAGTAGTGTTCAGAACACTGACTGCTGCCTCATGTTTCAGTTTAGCAGCCCTGAGTGGATGCTGCATCTCAGTTCTCGTTGTTTCATCACATTAGGAAAGTCAGAGTGATCTGTGATCAAAAACCACTCCCCCGTGTCATTTAAATTACCATCTTTCTGTCATCTTGATTGAGATCTTTCAACCCTTACCATATGTGAGTGTGTGTAGAATAGCAAAGTCCCGTGAGCAGGTGCTTTAAAGGATGAAAAAGTTTTGCTGTTTCACCAGGGCTTGATGGTTAGGAAAAAGGTCCAAGGAAACCATGGGTCAAGACTCTGGGTATAGAAAAGCAGTTTAGATGAGGGGTGCCATTATAGAGGAGACAGTTTTTACCCAGAAGAGCTTTAGGTGGTTCAAAGAAGCACAACCATTGTTCTCGTCCTGAGCTGTCATAGGGCCTACTTCAGTTATAGCTTCCTTTTGTCAACCCTGTATCCCTTAGAATTTGTATCCTTCCTTTTTTACAGGACTGGCATGGTATAGGGAAAGCATATATATATATATAACGTATATGAATGTTTAGAAAGTAGATGCAGATACATACAAAGTCGTGTTTCAGATCTACATGTGTGGACTTACATATCTCATCACAAATACCCTGGTCCCTTCAACCTGCAAATACATTGTGAGAAGCCATCTAGAGATGCTGGAGTCACTTGGAAAGCTAGGTGAATGTGCTAACACAGAAGTGATTCCAAACACAACATGCATTGATTGGCATTTTTAATTGCTGCTACCGTTTTCTTGTTTTCAGTTGTTTAAATGAGGCCATTTACTTAAGAGTTTTATATATGGAGGAAGAGTCCCAGCCTATGTCTTTGCTGTCTTAAGAAGTGCCCTGGCCTTTTTCTCAGCAATAACTCCTCTGTTTGAGAAGTTGTGACCCTCTTTCAGATTAAGCCCTAGGGTTTGGGTTCTACATCTCACAGGATGATGGGTTCTTGTAGAGGCTACTCCCAAGCCCTCCCATCCCTGGGGCTCAGCTGACCGCTATACTGTCTGTCCAGAGGGATGGCCTTTCCCTACCTACAGACCCAGCAGACTGAGACCCAGCACTCCACATTTTGTCTTTGGGTAAAGGCAGGACCCTGCTGTCATTGGGCATTATTTTACATACCCTATCTTGGATACACAAAGCTGAAATTCACCTTGTCCAGAAGGTAAGTCCTTGAAATCTACTGATGAAGCACTGAGTTTTACTTGAGGCTGTCTAGAACCATCTATGGAGTAGAAAAAAGAAAAATCACTGCTATCTCTGGTCCCTGCCAGATTGAGCACTGAGTAAGGTCTTCAAAAAGGGTGTGAGCAAGAGGTCGAAAGTGCGTCCACATGCCAACTGGGTTTTCCTGAAAATGCTCCACTGCTTTGGGGTTATTTTCCATGAGTCATTTCTGAGACAGCCCAGAGTAATCTGACAGCTGCCTCTAGCCAATTCCCCAGCTGAGGGAACAATGGGTGGGAGCACCATTCTCTCTCCTCAGCACATTCGCCTGATTGTAAAATAACCCGCAACCATACCCTCTGATTCTTGGTCACTTCTCCCCACCTGGGCGCTTACAGAAGCCAGCAAAAGGGAAGGCCTCTGGGTTTCTTGAAGTGATGGAGGTAAGGGGGCGGGGGGGGACTGGATATAGGTAAGAAGGGCCCCTCTGAACTATGCTGTGACCACCCTGCCATTTCATTTGCAAGCAAACATTGGGACCCAAAGTATTTTACAGGGTAATAGCATCAATTTGAGCCAAGAGAAAATTACCCCTTGTTTGTACTATCCAAATCTTTCCCTGGAGCTTTAGGACGCTGTCTCACCTAGTCAGGAACAGTGTGACACTTAAGTGGCCAGTAGATTTTATCAATCTGACTAGTTAAGACCACCTTGAGCTAGGATTCCGTGTGCTGAGGTTTTCCCTGGTACTGGCTGAAGGATTGGCCAGCTTGGGTGGCCCCTTTAAGACAGAAGGAAAGAGTATTGCCTTTCTCAGGGTGATCTCAGCCCTCAGTGTGCGACCAGTTGATGTGGGGGACCTCTTGTTATGGAAAATGCAGCATTTGTAAAGCAATGTCTGAGTGTGCAGTGAAGCAGAGCATGCTGGGTCTCATGAGCTTGGCTACTGCTAGTTGGGTGAACAGCCAGCGTCCACAGAGAAGCCCCCTGCCAGACACTGGACGACACAAGGCACTGGCCTCCAAGCACACCTGGTCTTTCTTCACCAGTCCAAAACACAGTGTACCCCTTGGATGTTTAACAACTTTATAGTCGAGGTTAATTTATTCATGCTCACTTTCAACAGCCATAAAGTTAAAAATAGCTTTCTACAGTTTGCTTTTTAACAACTCTCAATCCATAAGGCACTACACTTCAGAAAAAGAACTTCAAGTGGTTTTCCATCTTTATTGATACTCCCTGTCTTTGCACTTAAGTTGTACATGTCATTTAAGGAGCCCAGCAAGCTTCAGGAACATAGTCTCTTTACACTCCCACCAACGGGGAAAGGCCAGGTGAGCAGTGACGTGTTCCCAAATTAGGAATTTCAGTCTCCCTGGGTGGGGGCATACACCACTCCCACACTTCAGTGTTTGAACTTTTCTGTGCAGTGTAAAATAATGCAAAGTCACGGGGCTGCAGCTCTGCTCCCCAGAGATCACAGCCACAGGTACCATTTTGGCCTAGCCCAAAGGAGAAGCTGTTGGAGCCTCTTTGTCAGCACTCCGTGAGTCCAGGACAGAACTGAGCGCAGGACCCTTGTGCAGGGGCTCCTACAGACTGCTCAGCTGCAGCTGGGAAGGTTCGAGGAGGGACGGATCCACTGAAAGACACGGGTGTTCCCAAGGCATCCGGTGGTTCAGTTGTAGTCACATGTTACCTTCTTGCTGCCCACCTCAAAACTTACAGGTGTGGTGGCCTGAACCACAGGTAAGTTTTTTTTTTTATCTTGGGGAAGAGGTGGGATGTATGTGGAAAACTCTAGATCAGTGCTCCAATTACATACATAAACTGAACATATTAAAGCTTCGAGTTTTTACAACTGTTTGTACCCTTCCCTTTGCCCCAGGCCATCTAGAGATGGGAAAGGAAAGGGTATAAGAACACCCCACTGAACGTAGAATACATTTCATCAAAGTCTGTCTGAGCCAGTCTGCCCCCAGTCACCACGATGTTCACACCATCCCCCGCTTTCAAGTGCACGATGAGATGGAAGGCCCCTGGCCCCCCACATGTGTGGAGCGCCCCTTGGGGCCGGTGGTATTCCAGAAACTCCCTCTTGTACCCTGCTGTGTGTAGCTGGGCCACACTGGCATTGGACACTGACAGGACAGCTTCCACATAGGCATCTCTCTCAGGAGTGAGGGTGGCAGTGATCAGGTAGCGTCCGTCATAAGGAGCCGTGAAGATCCCTAGGAGGAAGGCAGACACTGGTGCTTATACACAAACACATCATCTCGGCTTGCCTAGGATTGTGTGATAATAGCACTCAAAGTCCTCAGCAAACTGGGACAATTGGTCAGCCTGCCTCAGAAGTGAGGCTGAGCTGGGGCAGGAGACTGGCTCTTGGAGGACGCAGCCCCTACTTCTACTGCATCTGCCCACACCCACCCAGGGGCTCTGACCCAAGTGTGCTGGCCCTGCTCTCTGCTGACCAGTTATTCATCGTGAGACACACTGACTTCTGCTTATAACATTCAAAGAGAATAAGTAATTGCACAGCCCCAGGAGCCAGTATAAGTACCGTAACCCTCACCTGCACATTCCCAACAGCAGCTCCGGGGACAGCTTGCCCCTTACTGCTCTGCAACACATATTGAAGAAAATACATCTAGCATCGTCAGGAAGAGAACTTGGCTTTCATATGTTTCTTCTCAGCCCTTTTTCTGGGCTCCATGGGTATTTGCCACATGAAGACCCAGGCTGTGGCCCTATTCTCGGCCTCCCACCTACACCTTCAGTTCAATGGGAAAGAGACGGCAGAGCTTAGGCTGCTCATACTTCTTGCTCACAGAGCATCCCAAGGCCAACCTGTCACCAGCCTCAGCAGCTACTGTGCAATCCCTTTGGATGCAGGAACTGCTGTCCCAGGAAGCAGGATTGATAAAGACAATGCTCCATACCAACCCAGAAGAGGCAGACATGGAGCCAAGCAAGCCCAGGAGGCCACAGCCAGCCCTCTACATGTAGAAGAGCCAGGCTCCTCGCATTTGGTCAGTATACAGATGGCATCCATTCACAGCCATAGATGCTGATACTCACTTAGCCAGTGACCCACATGTTCTGGGACTATGAAGGCAGGAGGTAGGTAGTGGTGAGGAGGTAGAAGATGGCATGAGGAAGGGGTGATGAGACTATTCACAAAGCGCACACCCCAAAGGAAGCCCTCAGCTAGAAGAGTCTGAGCCCATACCAGATATTGCAGAAGCAGCCACCTCTCACAGCTAAGGGGCTAAGAGGGGACACTAAACATTGACTACAGATGAGAAACCTGGAGCTGAGATAACATGGAGGGCCCAGGAGCTAAAAAGGGGCCCAAAGGGCCTGGGTCTTAATTCTGCCCTATAAAAATCAATTAAAAAAAAAAAAAAAAAACCACCCAGCCCTCTTCTTAGCTTCAATGGCAAATAATTGAAAGCTTCTGGCATCCTCCTGGAAGCTCTGGTGGCACAGTGCCTAAGATATTTGAGTGCTGACCAGAAGGCTGACGGCTGAAACCCACCAGCCACTCCTCGGAAGGCTGGGCAATCTACTGCCATAGTGATACTGCTTCAGAAATCCAAGGAGGGGTAGTTGTGAGCTGGAAACAACTCAATGGCAGTGAGTTTTTGGTTTGGTGCCTATCTGGAGGTGCCTGGAGCCCGAGGACAGGACCAGCCCCAGCACTCTGAGTGCATGACTTTAATCTCTCAGAGGGCCTGCAGGTGGTGAAGCCTCCCACGAATTCAACCATAACTTCCTTTACTGAGTACCTGCTTCCACGTGAGGGTATTGTTGGGGTAGGGGGAGCATCAGGGGAATGTGAAGAAATGGGGTCACCATCCCTGCCTTCAAAGATCACCTGGTCAAGCTGTCCCCACAGCCAAGGCAGGATGCGCCACACCAGGGTTGGCCTAGATGCCAGGCCCTGGCACTTTTGAAGCAGTGGTAGAACCCTGTAGCCCTGACGTGGCCTGAGGCTATGGGAGGGAGCCAACCCAGGGCTTCTGGAGCTGGTTAAAAATGCAGATTCAAGAGTTACCCTCCAGTCACCCTGCAGTCCAGGAGATTCATTTTCCCAAATTCCACAAATGATTTTGTTGTTGTTGTTGTTGTTATGTGCCATCGAGTCGGCCCGACTCATAGCGACCCCTCCTTGGGTTTCCAAGGCAGTATCACTACACAAGTAGATTGCCCAATCTTCCTTCTGAGGCGTGGCTGGTGGGTTTGAACCACCAGCCTTCTGGTTAGCAGTCAAGTGCCTTAGGCACTATGCTACCAGAGCTCACACAAATCATTTTAATGCTTGTTAAAAATTAAGAACCACTGCCTTCAGAATAGCCAGATAGGTGAGAAGAGGGCACTGCCCAGGCAGGACACACATGAAGGTGATGGCTAGAAGCTCTGCAGTGAAGGAAGTGACATTCGCCTGCAATTATATGCACTCAGCCCCTTCCCGGGGGCCTGGGTGGGTAAGAGTACCAACTGGAGCCCGAGGACAGGACCAGCCCCAACACTCTGAGCGCATGACTTTAATCTCTCAGAGGGCCTGCAGGTAGTGAAGCCTGCAGATGCCAGGCCCTGGCAGTTTCGAAGAAACTGAGCAGAAAAGAACTGGCAATGTGCTCCCATGAAGATTTCAACCTTGGAAACCATGTGAAGCAGCTCTACCATGTCAATAGGGTTGCTATGGGTCAGAATCAATTCAACTGCACACACCACCAATGGTCTCAGAAGACCTCAAAACCCACTGCCATCGAGTTGATTCTGACTCATAGCAACCCCCACTGAGTTTCCAAGGCTGTAAATCTTTACAGAAGTAGATTGCCTCATCTTCTTTGTTTGGAGCAGCTGGTGGGTTTGAACCACTAACTTTCTGGTTAGCAACCTAATGCCTTACCCACTATACCACCAAACCAAAAAAAAAAAAAAAAAAATCACTGCCATTGAGTCAATTCTGATGCATAGCGACCCTCATTGGGTTTCCAAGACAATAAATCTTTACAGAAGTAGATTGCCTCATTTCCTTCCTTGGAGCTGGTGGGTCTGAACCGCCACCCTTCTGGTTAGCAGTAAAGTGCCTTAGGCACTATGCCACCAGAGCACCTTAAAGCAAGAAAAAGGCCAACAAATTCATTCAGATCAAACTGAAGGAAAACAAAAGAGAGGACTCTTTCACAGTCCTTTTAATTCAGCATTCCTGGGAAAGGCTCCCAAGGCCCTACCTCCCTTAGCTGACTCAGCTCTGCTATTTTTGTTCTTCTAAAAATCTGCCCAAGATAGCGAGTAGTAGGACCAGTGGCCTTGGGACCACGGTCGCAGGGGACATCAAGCTCGATTGGCATAATACATACACTACACAAGAACATTGTTCCACATCCTACTTCAGTGAGTAGCAACTGGGAGCTTATAAGCTTGCAAGCAGCCATCTAGATGTAACAGTGGGTCTTTCCTCATCCAGAGGAAAAAAAAAATGAAGAAAACCAAAGATGCATGGTAACAATTAGTCCAAGTGACTGGTACACCATGAGATCCACAGCCTATATGACTATGAGACCAGAAGAACTAGATGGTGCCCATCTACCACTGTCAACCACTCGGAGGGGATCTACATAGGAGATTCTAGATAGAGTGGGAGAACAATGTGGAACAACACTCAAAATTTAAAAAAAAAAGGACCAGGTTTGCTAGTCTCATAGAGCCTGGTAGAACCCCTGAGACTATGGCCCCTAGCTGCCATTCAGGTCTGGAATTGAATCCATTCCTGTGGCTTCCAGCCAAACAAAAGACAGGCATATGAGCTGAACATTTACATTAGGTAGATACACTCCTTGTAGAGTTCAATCATGGGAGAATAGAAGGGCTGTGTATGCACAGAGAGACAGCGCAGGCAGCAGCAGTGCATGGATGGACGGATGCGGGGAAGAGGTAACTATGAAGAGGAAGTGGAAGAGAGCTGTTACATCATGGGAAGTTGCAGTCAATGTCATGAGACAAAGTGTATGTGAACTGCTGTATGGAAAGTGAATCTGCTCTGTAAACTTTCACCCAAATCACAATAAAAAAAAAAAAATTCCACCCAAGACACATTGCCCCCTGTGGCTGATGAGGGCTTCATGTCCCCTTCAATCTGCAGCCCCCAGGTCAGACCCCTTGTAATTCCTGCCAGCCCTGGGAAGTGGAGCATAACCTTCAGCCCTTCCTTCCAAACAGGAGACAGGGTTACTTCCTCACATCCTGAGGATGAAAGCCTAGGATCCCAGGAAGGAGCAGGCGAGAAGAGACCTACGCAGTCAGGGCTTTGGGGGTCAACCTCATCCAAAACTGTCCCCCTGGGCTGCCCAGAAACAGCCCCAGGACAGGGTGCTGGAGGCTGACTCTGAAGCACACAGTTTTAGGTGATTCTTTCCCAGAGCAGATGCCCCCCACACAAGGTTTGGCCCAGTCACAAGCACATGAGATTTGGAAGACACAGCCCCCTTGCTTGTCCTGCTCCAGGGTGTCAGGATGACCGCTAGGTAAGAGGAAGAAAGATGCTCAGTGGGTGGTAGAGGAGGGTGGCTGGGCGGGGGTGGAAGCTTGATAGGCTAAGCCTTTGTAACAAACAACACTATAAAAGAACACCAATTCCAGTGATGACAGCCAAGGACTAGGATGTTGACCTCATAACTAGAAATTGTCCCTGCACACTCACTCACACACCCCCACCCACTCTATAGCCCACAAGGCTGGAAAACATTTGTTCATTAAAACCTAAAAACTGGGATGCGTAGGATGTGCCAACTCTGCTCCCTCGAGCCTCTAGCACCCATGACTATTCAGTGGGACATCTTCTCCAGAGCAGGTTCCCCCCACCCCACCCCATGGGACCAGGGAATTGAGAACAGGAGGACCCCACATGGCATTTAGGTCAAAAGCTTTGGAAAAGGACCAAAAGCCTTACAGCCCTTCAAAAGCTCACCAGTACTGGGATTATAGACATCTCCATCGTTCACCAGCACTTTGTTAAAGAGGACAACGCCTCCATCACTGGGGAAAGGTTTCTGTGTAAGCCCAGCAGAAAACGACACCAGAGAAGGCACTGGAACCCCTGGAGCAAAGAGAGATGGAAGACTGTTCAAGCTTTTCAACAGGAGATATTTTCCAGTTCCTGGATGGCTATGTTCTGAGTGGGCCTGGAAAACTGAAGCCTTTGAGGGCACGCAGTGGCAGCCCCACCACTTTATTTCACCTTAGAGTGGCAGAACACCACTGGATATGAAAAACTCGTCACACCCACGTGCAGATGGCCCACCTTTTCTGAGATCAGCAGTCAGGGCACCTGAGAATTGTGGGAAATTGAAGGGGTACCTGCCAGAAGTATATCTGTGTGAGACTATGTATACAGGTGAGTGTGTCTGTGTATGAAAGTGACTGTGTGAGACAGAATGTGTGTATGTGAAAAATTGTGCTGTGTATGAACTGTCGATAAGAGACATTGTGTGTATGTATAATTATGTGTGTGAGAGACAGACTGTAAAATAGACTGTGTGTGAGTTTGACAGTGTATGTGAGAAACTGTGTCTTTGTGTGAGAGACATTCTGTGTGTGAAAGATTGTGTATCTGTGTGTGTGTGAGGAGATATGTGTATGACTGTGTGTGAGAATCTGTGTGTATGTAAGAGAGACCATGTGTGAGAGAAACTGAGAGAAATTCTGTTTGTGAAAGACTGTAAATGAGTGTGCATATGTGAGGAAAGATTGTGTGTCAGACTGTGAGACTGCGTGAGAGAGAAAACATACAAAGACTGAGAAAGTCTGTGTATGAAAGACTGTGTGTATGTGTGTGTCTCAGAGAGGGGACTGTGTGTGAGACTCTGTATGGGTGAAAAATTATAAGTGAAATTGATTATGTGTGAGGCTGTGTGTATGTGTGTGAGGTGGGATCCTCTGTGCCTGGGGGCTCTGTGTGAGTGTGTGTATGTGTGTTAAGGGGATTGAGTAGATAATGGAAATTATTTAGGGAGCAGCTTACTTACTGATAAGCCAATAAAACCTGGACCCCAGGAAACTTGTCTGGTCAAAGCTGGCAATGAGTTAGGATGATGAGAGAATAGTCTTTATCTTGAGCATGATTCTGACTCCATCTAGAGAGCACAACTTGAGGTGTTTGATCCATTGCTATCAGCAGATGCTTCTCCCACTGCTGGGGGACAGGGAAAGGCTTGGCCCAGCCTCTCCCCACCCCACATCCCACCCCTGTTGCTAAAAGCCCAGATGCAGGAGATGGGAAATACATGTGAGAGGCAGAGGCCAATAAGGACAACCAGCCTCCTGGCCCTGGCCTCTGGCAGGCAGCCGACATACCTGAGGAGGCTACAGCAGGTGACTTGGGGTATCCTGAAAAACAAAATGGGAATGGAATGTCAAAATCCTAAATAACAGGTCATTTTTCGGAGTCCCCTTTCCCACCTGTTCCTTTGTGCTCAAATTTAGTCTTCATTACCAGAGAAGCAAACATAGTTACAGGAAGGGCACCCACTTTGAGCTGCTGTCCTACAAACACACACATTTGCACACACCTGGTCCTGCTTCTCTGGCCTGCATACCCTTAGAGCAGATGACATTGAATGCAAGCTGGGTGAGGAGGACTATGAGGACAAAGACGATGGAGTACGGGGGCTGTGGGGCCTAGGCCAGGGAAGAGAACTCCAGAGACACACACAGGCCAATGAGCCTCTGGAAGCATTGTCTGCCCACAAGCTTTACCTCCCAAAGTTGGCTTAGCATGCTGTTTGTTACATGAATGAATAAACACATGAACAAGTAGCTCCACAGAATAGAGGCAGTCAGGGTACATGGAATGAAGAGAAGGCATGCTGTTGTCTTAGGAAATGTAGCATATCTACCCAAGGGCATGCTGTGCTCACTGTGGCTCAGGGTGGCAAAGGAGGAGCAGAGGAAAGGGAAGATGGTGAAAGAAAGTTTATCTTCTGTCATCTCACCACTGACCCTGCCCACCCAGTGGGCACAGTGCCTCCGGGGCATGGGTGCACTAGACCATCACTGGTGGCCAACCCCAGCCCTGCCAGAGATTGGTTTGACTTAGAGGGACTGGTGTATACTCGTCTATGGCAATGAACATGATCTGCCCAAGCTTAAGCCACCTGGACACATGTCATAGTCCCAAGGTTCAATTTCCTCATCTGTGAAGTAGAACGAACACTGACTTCACAGTATTCTTGGTAAGATTACATGGAATAAAACAACTGGTTCAGTACATGGCACATGGTGGGAACTGCATAAACGCTGGCTCTCTTTTCCTTCTTACTGCCTTTACTCAGACACCACTACCACCATCACCCCCACCACCACTAACAACACATTAGTATGATGTTGACATTCACAACTTGCACTGAATACTTCCTGGCCAAGCACTAAACTAAGCTTTTCTTGCTTCATTCTCACAGTAACTCCTTGAGGTATTATTATTATTATCCTAATTTTGCAGTGAAGAAACTGAGCCTTGGGGAGGTTAGAAAGCTACCCCAGGTCACAAAGCTTGTGAATGATCCACTGGGATTTGAACCAGCAATCTCCTGCCCAAATGTTCCATTGAATTGCCTGCCTTTGCTACTAAACAAGTTCCACATACACATGTGGTTTCCCAAGGGTCCCTTCTTGCTGGGAAGACAAATGAGCTGCCCACGCAGGGTACTCCACCCCGTGGTTCATTATATTTCTCAGGGTGATTTATTGCACTGACCCTGGAGTGCCCAGTCTCTGGGCATTTGAGAACCAGGTATTGGTCCCTCAGGATCTCGGCGTCCGGAAAGCTAAGTTCTGAAACTCGTTCACCTGATGGCTGGACCCTGGACCCATGAAGACCCCCTGCTGTAGACACCCTAAGGCTGAGGTGGAAGCACTCTGTGCTTTCCTCATCTGTGTGTGCCAGAACACCAGGCCTCTTGGGGGGCCCTAAGCTCAGATGAGCCCCACTGTGGGTGTGCTTGACTTACCTGGTGCACCTGCGTAGCCTTCAGAGCTGGGCACCGGTGACTGACCCGTTTGGCCATCCACCCCCTGGGGCAGGCCCCTGCCAGACACGCCCATTCTTCCCGGAGGCCCAGCCTCTCCTGTCTCCATAATTACCCCGGTGGACCCAGGCAACAAAGGCAGGCCTGTCCGTCCAGGCCACACTCGAGGGGGAAGCTTCTCTTCAGGGGGGCGTGGTGACAGGGGCCTCTTCGGCATCACAAGGTGCTGTCCGGGGTCCTCCGAAGGAAGAGGGCCGCTGGGCCTCGGCAACGGAGCAGGGGTCAGCTTCGGGCGTGTGGGCTCAGTGGGGGCTTCAGGCAGCCTGCTGGGCACCTGCGGGCCCTTCCCTCGGGGTGGCGGCTGGGGAGTTTCAGAGGGCTCCTCCGCTGGGCATTGGGGAAGTAAAAAGAAATACACAGGGTTAAAAACTCAAAACCCACTGCTCAGTCACAGGTCTCTTCCATTTGATCTTGATGAGAACTGTGTCCCTGTGCTCACGTGACGAACTCTGCCGCATTGACTGATTTGGTCTGCATCGCCCCCTCTAGGAACACTCAGAGCAGCCCCAACAGGGATGGTGGCCTCCGACCACCGGGAGCTGCTGAGACGCCAAGGGGGCGGCCTATGCAGGGAGAGATTGAGTTTTGCTTTCTGCATAGATGCTGCCCTCTCCAAAACAGCATCAGTCTTAGTGTCAGCACCCAAAATTTCCTGATGTCACTGCACAATGATAGCACAGATCTATCACAAATTACCTAAAGGAACCTAATGCCACCACCTTTCACACAATTTCTAAAACAAGCTAGTCTCAATGACAAGCCAGTGTCAGTCTGACAAACTGACTGCTGAGGGGACTGCTGGGTAGACACAAGTCACAGGAGCTCTGGCTTTAGCTGCAGGCCCAGGGGCAGCAGTGCCCCATTCCTTTTGCCACGCCGGCCCCAAACCACCAACTGAAGGGTTTTCCAAGGGAGAAACCTTCTGATTCACATTTCCCTGCTTTCTTGGAATGGCAGCCACAGCCAGGAAGCTGCCACCCTTTCCTCCTTTGCACATGTTCCTGGAACTAGCCTTCCAGGAAGCCCTTCCTGGGCAGCCACGAGACAACTGAAAATAGCCTGGACTGTTGCAGATATGACTGCAAGGGAAACACCACCCACCTCCTCACTCAGCTGTGGTGGCTGCAAGGCTCCATGGTTCAAAGCTACTAATGTAAGACCCAGCAAAATCAGTGATTGCATTTTCATCAACTATCTAGTTATTAAAAAAAAAAAAAAAAAACTCAGTTAAGGTTAAAAGGAAAGAATGAAATTCACTTAAGGAAAATATGACAGATGAAATATATACTATACCTCCATCACAAACCAGGTTATTAGCCCAGCCTCAAAGAGACAGCATGTTTCTCCAACAGCTTTCTTTGTTTTTTTTTTTTCCTTTAAATTTTGTTTTGTTATTGTTGAGAATATTCAAAGCAAAACATACACCACTTTGACCGTTTCTACATATACCATTTGTTGACACTGATTACATTTCTTGAGTTGTGCAACCATTTGCACCCTCCTTTTCTGAGTTATTCTTCCCGCATTGACATACACTCACTGCTCCCTAAAGTTCCTATCTAATCTTGCAAGCTGCTATTCTCAATTTGATCCCATATAGATAAGTAGTTTTTTTTTCTTGCTTCTACTATTATTTATTTGATTTTTTATCGTGATATAAGTGAAGGTTTAGAGAGCAAATCAGTTTTCCATCCAACAATTCACATACATTTTGTTTTATGCCATTGATTTCAATCCCACAATGTAACATCACTCATCCCACGTCCTCCCTGTGTATCCCCTTTTCTTTCCCATTCCTTACTGCTTTCTGAATTTTATTGTTGGGCAAATGTTGCTCTTTTGATCTCAAATAGTTGATTATCCTAAGGACTGCATACCTCCCTGGTGTTATTGTTTACTTAGAGACCTATTGTTTGGGGAAAGGTAGCCATGGGACCGAGTTCAGTTCTAGGCTTGAAGGGTGGCTAAGGACCAGAGTCTCAGGGATTCCACTATTCTCTATCTGACCAATGAGCCTGGTCTTTTTTTTTATTTTGCGTTTTGGTCCTCATTATTCTCCCACTTTGTCCGGGATTTTCTATTGTAGTCCAATCCAGAGTGGTCACTAATGGTAGCCAGAAACCATCTAGTTCTGGTCTCAGGATCGTGGAAGCTAGATAATTCTTAAAAGAGCATAATCCTCAAGG